AAAACAAACATAAACCTTAGCAGGGGATAACTAGAAATCTGCTAAAATAAAAAGAAAATCGCTAAAAAAAGACACAAAGCAAAGCTCTAAGGTCTCAGGGCCACTTCACACCTTTCTGGTCTTTTGTAGTGCATCACTGCTCATGCATTAAAGTGCCATACAAAGCACATTGATGTGTTGAGTTTTTATTGGGATGCCAGTGCACCGCATCAGACAAGCAAACAGACTTGACACAAAGGGGTTTATTTACTAAAGCTGGAGAGTCCAAAATCAGACTCCCTTCTGCATAGAAACCAATCAGCTTCCAGGTTTCATTGCCAAAGCTTCATTGAACAAGCTGAGGTTAGAAGCTGATTGGTTTCTATGCAGAAGGGAGTCTGATTTTGGACTCTCCAGCTTTAGTAAATAAACCCCAAAGTGGCATGTGCGCTATAGCATGGATGCATTGCTGCCTACTGTTGTTGTTCTTTGGGGTGCAATTCCAAATTAACAGTACTGCAACATTTCATAGAAAGTTCTAGATGTTAATGCATGTTTTTACTGTACCATTTAGCATAAACCATTGCTATAAACCAGGGGTCCTCAAACTACGTCCCGTGGGCCACATGCGGCCCACCGAGGACATTTATCCGGCCCACCGGACAGGGGCGTATCTGCCGCGAGGCAAGGGGCTAGGGTTTGGCAGGTCGGGAGAGTTCGTCAGGACTTGGGCGGGAGGCAGGAGGGCGGGATCAGCAATTCTAGAACAGGGGAAGGTGGGCTCAGCTTATGAACCCGCACCACTCACCTGGCCTCTCTGCAGCCAGCCGGCCATCTATTCTGATCAGTGCATGCAACCGTCACGGCCGGAGGGTGGAGCCTAGAGCTGACCATGAAGAGGGGGAGCAAGAGAAGAGATTCCATCGCTGCATGTCGGGTATCACGGCCACGGACCCTAGATAAGTGCAATATAAATGATTGATCTCCTCCCTCTCTTTCCCCCCCCTCTCTCTCCTCTCTCCCTCTTCCTCCCCCCTCCTCTCTTTCCCCCCTTTCCCTCCCTCCTCCCCCCTCCCTCTCTCTCCCTCCTCCTCTCCTCTCTCCCCTCTCTCTCTCTCCCCCCTCCTCTCCTCTCTCCCCCCCTCTCTCTCACCCCTCCTCTCTCTCCCCCTCTCTCTCTCTCTCCCCCCCGTTCCTCTCTCTTTCTCTCCCCCTCCTCTTTCTCTCTCCCCCTTCCCTGCCCTCTCCCCCCTCCCCCCTCTCTCTCCCCCTCCTCTCTCTCTATCTTTCCCTCTCTCTCCCCCTCCTCTCTCTCTCCCCTCCTTATCTCTCCCCCCCTCTCTCTCTCTTTACATTGTACACAGATCTGACCCAACATGTCCTGCATTTACTGTATATTTCACTCCATACGACACACAAATCCGCATTTGTTCATAGTTTTTTTTTTAAAACTATAGTCCGGCCCTCCAACGTTTTGAGGGACAGTGAACTGGCCCCCTGTTTAAAAAGTTTGAGGACCCCTGCTATAAACATTAAAGCAGGCCTTGCCCTCCAAGCAAGGTAAACATACAGTGGGGCAAAAAAGTATTTAGTCAGCCACCAATTGTGCAAGTTCTCCCACTTAAAAAGATGAGAGAGGCCTGTAATTGGCATCATAGGTAGACCTCAACTATGAGAGACAAAATGAGAAAAAAAAATCCAGACAATCACATTGGCTGATTTGGAAAGAATTTATTTGTAAATTATGGTGGAAAATAAGTATTTGGTCACCTACAACCAATCAAGATTTCTGGCTCTCACAGACCTGTACCTTCTTTAAGAGGCTCCGCTGTCCTGCACTCATTACCTGTATCAATGGCACCTGTTTGAACTTGTTATCAGTATAAAAGACACCTGTCCACAACCTCAAACAGTCACACTCCAAACTCCACTATGGTGAAGACCAAAGAGCTGTCGAAGGACAGTAGAAACAAAATTGTAGACCTGCACCAGGCTGGGAAGACTGAATCTGCAATAGGCAGAACAAATCAACTGTGGGAGCAATAATTAATCTCCCTCGATCTGGGGCTCCACGCAAGATCTCACCCCGTGGGGTCAAAATGATCACAAGAACAGTGAGCAAAAATCCAGGACCACACAGGTGGACCTAGTGAATGACCTGCAGAGAGCTGGGACCAACGTAACAAAGGCTACCATCAGTAACACACTACGCCGCCAGGGACTCAGATCCTGCAGTGCCAGACGTGTCCCCTGCTTAAGCCAGTACATGTCCGGTCCCGTCTGAAGTTTGCTAGAGAGCATTTGGATGATCCAGAAGAGGATTGGGAGAATGTCATATGGTCAGATGAAACCAAAATAGAACTGTTTGGTAGAAACACAACTCATCGTGTTTGGAGGAGAGAGAATGCTGAGTTGCATCCAAAGAACACCATACCTACTGTGAAGCATGGGGGTGGCAACATCATGCTTTGGGGCTGTTTCTCCGCATAGGGACCAGGACGACTGATCCATGTACAGGACAGAATGAATGGGGCCATGTATTGTGAGATTTTGAGTGCAAACCTCCTTCCATCAGCAAGGGCATTGAAGATGAAACGTGGCTGGGTCTTCCAACATGACAATGATCCCAAACATACCGCCAGGGCAACGAAGGAGTGGCTTTGTAAGAAGAATTTCAAGGTCCTGGAGTGGCCTAGCCAGTCTCCAGATCTCAACCCCATAGAAAACCTTTGGAGGGAGTTGAAAGTCCGTGTTGCCCAGAGACAGCCCCAAAACATCACTGCTCTAGAGGAGATCTGCATGGAGGAATGGGCCAACATACCAGCAACAGTGTGTGCCAACCTTGTGAAGACTTACAGGAAACGTTTAACCTCTGTCATTGCCAACAAAGGATATATAACAAAGTATTGAGATGAACTTTTGATATTGACCAAATACTTATTTTCCACCATAATTTGCAAATAAATTCTTTCCAAATCAGCCAATGTGATTGTCTGGATTTTTTTTCTCATTTTGTCTCTCATAGTTGAGGTCTACCTATGATCCCAGTTACAGGCCTCTCTCATCTTTTTAAGTGGGAGAACTTGCACAATTGGTGGCTGACTAAATACTTTTTTGCCCCACTGTATTTAGTCTGGATCTCTTCCTATATCCTCAAATGCTAGATTAAACTGCTTTAAAAACCTAAGGGGGAAAAAAATTTGTTCATATACTTACTTTTCCCCCAGCTTCCATACTGATGTTTTGTAGCCCAAATCTCACTAGAAGATGCTATACCACAGTACACAATCATCTTCTCATAAGATTTGTACTAGTCAACATTCCTCAGGATCATGTCATTCCCACCTAGGCGCAGAAGCTAAGGGGAAAGGTTAGTATACTAAATAACTTTTTCTCTTATGTTTATTTTTTTGCAGATTAGTGCAAGAAGGAGGTGACCCATGCTAAATAAACAGACTTAGTTATTTTAGTGCAAGGTCCACTTTAGGGGAATGCATAAGATCAAAAATCTTATGAAATGTTAATAATCTGCCTCATCTAAGTGCATTATAAGTAGAGATGATTTTCTTAATTGTTGCATGTAGGACTGTCTGATCTGCACAATACAAAGTAAATTAGCTGATATTAATAATTCCAAAGCACCAGAGTACCTACGCCTCCTAAATTCATGCGTTCATTTATTGCTAATATGGAGATTTTAGTGCATGCCATGAAATTGCTGCTACATTTGGTGCATTCTGTATTACATCTGTGCACAAATAGTACAACAGTTCTAGAGTGGGTTCCTCTACAACAGATATAAACTGAAACACTAAAGAAACTGACAACCTGGAGAGACGTCTTTAAACCACTAAAAGAACGGTTAATGGGGTAGATATGATGGGTGAAAAATTGAATAAGGGTGATCAGGTAGGGAGATAGAAGAAGGAGTCTTTGAAAAGGAAGTCCTTTGTTTAAGTACCCAAACAAACCTACCAGGTTCAGTAAACTTGTTAGGGTGGCATTCCTAAACATTACTGCTCTATCTAGGAAAGTTGAACACATAGAAGGCCTTTTATTACTACAGGTGGTAAAATCAGATTCTGTAATCAGAAATAGGTATAGAAACGGTGGCTGCCCATATTCCCTCTACTGAAAAGCAAATTGTTGGCTGGGTAGGTAGATCACAAGGAGGATCTGCGGATGGCCCAACTTTCCTCATCCATGTTGGGACCAATCATAGAATACATGGACGGGGAGAATTTTTTTTAATCCTTAAGAGCTATCTGGAAAACCGTGCACAACACAAGTAGGGCAATGGGAAAAGTCTAAATAAGGGTAGGTATGGATTTTAAGGTGGAACCCCACGGACACAGCCCACACTGCTGTATGGGTGGCCAGGAGTAAATGGACTCTGCTGTCCATTTACACCTGATGACCCTCCAATCCACTCTGCCTAGGTGGAATAGGAGAGATCCCCTTCCTTTTTTTTAGTGGAACCAATTAGACCTGGAGGTTGTCAGGTTTAAATAGACAAAAAATCCATTTATACTTACCTGTCCATGGGGATGAATTGACCTGCCGAATCAGGTCCACCTGATAAACTGACAGGCGGATCTGATCAGAACTTTACATGTCTGAAATAGACACCACTGGGTAGTATAGGTTAAGTAATTTTTTCCCATCCTGTCTTTGGACTCCTCTATTTTAACAAATGTATCTTTGGATAAAGATCTTAAAAACACACACATACTGTAAAGTGTCTTCTTAAATACAAGAACCTGTAAAACTATAAAACCCATAGCTAACAGATCTACACCTCGGAGTCAGGGTGACCCGTGTAATATGTAACAATATGTACATTTGTATCAAAGTGTACATGATCATTTACTTTGCTGATTTCTTGCTGTGATTATACTATGCCCTTTTCACACACGCATTGTACATGTATGAACACATCTACTCCACCTTCAGTTGTTCTTCCACCAACATAAATCATTGCATGAACAATTCATATAATAAGAACAATATTTCCTTCATTGTTACATCTTCTGTCTCTCTGCAAACTTACCAATAATATACTCCAGCCAAAATTGGTCATTTCCTGGATTGTATGGTCGGTTGAAGTTTATTCTAATGTCAAATTTCTGTCCACGGCGTATGATGAGTTTATTGTTAAAGTATCGGTCTGTGTGATGTTCTTTTTTATTTTTCTCATACTGTTGCTTGTACAGCTCAACATATTCAACTTCCAGGTAATCTACGAAAGCAAGACAGAGCTATAACAGCCTGATTGTTGAAAAATAACAGCCACAGCAAAACACCAGCATTCTTCATGTTGCCAAGAATAAAAGTGTTCAGAAAATAAATAATATTACATTTTCCTTATGTCATATGTCTGACAATGAAATAGACAAAACAACAAACATGATTATACTGAAACAAAAAAGGGCAGCAAAAGAGCATTTTATAATTTGTGCAATGTATCTTTACTTTCTCCCTTTGTTGGTAGTGATCACACTGTATTAGCAGGGTTTGGGATGATACAGTGAACTGTATGTTAAATCAAGAGAGATGAGATAAAGGTTTTAGTATGAGAAGATGGGAATTAAAAGCAATAAATAAAGCAACATTAACCAAACATTTTGTAGGAAACCGGGTCTTTCAGGGGCCAGAGATGGCAAACCACATGTAACTGAGTGCCCACAAAACTATGTTCTCCTTGAGGAGGGCAGTACTGAAAATAATGTTTTTGGGGACACCTGATGGAATCTGCAGCTGTATATAAGACATCAGCATGATACCTATGTTGCTTCTTTGAATTTCACCTGCATTTTCTTTGTCACACAGGTGGTTTTAGGGTATACATCATGGAAAGCTGTTCCTGGATAAACTACACAAGTGATATTGTATCTGTGTTCCTATTTTGGCTTTAAGTAATTTTTGTACCCATTCTACATTTCTATCTGATGCTAAGTTCACCTTTTAGGAAAAAAAAATAAATACATATATTTGCGCAAAAAAAAATGCATTTAATTTTTTTCTATAGGAGCCTGCAAATGATTGTGTCTGTGATCAGTAGATCATGGGTGCAATATCAGGCTCCTGCACACTTTCCTTCCAGCTTTGTGTCCATACCCCTGTAAGGGTTTTCTGTTACAGAGCTGGAGAAACAGTGAATGCTGGAGGCAGAGTCTATGGACTATGAGTGAGCTGTTCAGCATGCTTGTATTCCATTGAGAACTACAAGCCCATCTGCCACAGTGGCAGATGGGACTTGTAGTTTATTCATTCACAGATCACTGTGAATGAATGATGTGGCCAGAGCCAGGAAAAGGGAAAAGAGGGGGCAGGTGCCCTGGGCATAGCAGTTGAATGGGGAGGAAGGGGAACAGTGTCACCAGAGTGGCTACTATCAAATTGCTGCTAAAGTCTGCCTAATACATCATCAGGGCAGACTTTAGCACCACAGCACCTTACAGAGTGGCAGTGGGGTGCTGAGTGCTGGGAGTGCTCTCAGTGCTCCTGCAGCTGGCATGAGAAGAAACCACGCACTACTGTCAGGCGGCGTGTTCTCTACCCGACAGGGGAAGGTAGGTCCAAGCTTGCTGGTCTGCAGCTAGACATCATTTCCAGGCTGATAAGCAATCAACGCTGTGTGGGAGTGAGATGGAAATAGGTAATTAAACACAAATGTGAGCGCAACAGTTGGTAATAAATGAAGATTTATACAAACAAATGGTTAACCTCTTGGGGGAGTGAGAAGGATAATTAACATTGCCACTAGTCAGTAATGCAAAGTAATAACTCTTTGCATTACTAGCTAATGGCAATCCCCTCACTCCACCAATTTCTTTGTGCATTAGTAGCCAGTAGCAGTGTTAACTGCCACTGACCACCACTGGGAAGAGATGTCTTAAATACCACCCCCTCTGACCATCAATGCAGGAAAGTTAAGGGCTTAGCAACGAAGGGGGTTGACATAACATAACACCACTGACCAACAATGTATATGTTATTTGTGTGTAAACTGGCACCAATGCTGGGGAATAATATTGCATAAAAACTAGCACCAATGCTGGGGACTATTTATTGCATAAACTATTGTGGGTTATTATTGTGTAAACTGGCACCAATGCTGGGGAATAATATTGCATAAACTAGCACCAATGCTGGGGACTATTATTGCATAAACTTGCACCAATACTGTGGGTTATTATTGCATAAACTGGCACCAATACTGGGGGTTATTATTGCATAAACTGGCACCATTGCGGGGGGGGTTATTACTGCATAAACTGGGTTATTGTGTAAACTGCCAGTAATGATGGGGGGTTATTACTGTTTAAACTGGTACTAATGCTGGTGTTTTTTTTACTGCATACACTGGCACTAATGCTGGGGGTTATTACTATGAAAATTGTCAGCAATTAAGGGGGGTTTATTGCGGAAATTGGCACTAATGATGTGGGGGGTTTTATTGCTTATTGCAGAAACTGGCACCAATGATGATGGTTGTTATCGTGCTAAGTGGCACCAATGCTAAGGGGGGGGGGGTGCTGCTACTGACGCGAATGCAGGGGATTATTGCTGCGTCCACTGACATCAATGCTGGGGGTTACTAATGCTGCAAATTTTTATCCTTTCTCTTTGGTGCATTTTGCGGTAAAAAATACAACAGGAATTATATTTTACAGAATGTTGTGCATCCACACAAGTAGAACAGGATTAAAATAAAATTGTGGGAGCAATGGGAGTGGCTGCATATATGGAAGCTTTGATATTGGTCCGTCAGTTGTGATTTTTACTGTATTCCTACAATGTTGCTTTTTTACATCATTCGTATTATGGCAACCTTTCTATTGTTTTAATAAACATTTTTAAAAAACATATGTTCATGCCTTGAAAAGACACTGACTACTTTACAAACAAATGGGGGGGGATTGCAATTTGCCTTGTCCATGCACTGGAAGTGACTGTAAGTGGAGCCTCATTCAGTTGCGCTGATTTTATATGTGGCAGCAGCTATGGGGGAGAGGAACCTCAGCCCGCTGTCCCAGTTGAGGGAGGCTTGGGGATGAGAGGGGCAGGATCTGGAAAATGTTACATGTTACACCCTAGATAGTGGAGTAACAAGTAACATCTTCCAAAGTCTTAACATATTCTATAGTTCATATTTCAGTATTCCTTTATTGAATACCTATAAATCTTCTAAATTGATTTATTTTTACCTTTCATGCTCACACCCCTTGGGATGACTCCAAAAGTTTCCATGGTGGGAACCTCATCTTCATCAGCATTGGACACATTTGGAGGTACAGATCTACGACCTTTATAACCTGCTGGGTCCTTCTTCTTCTCTTGCTTAGTTTCTTTAGGTTCTGACATTATGTTGGTCACTAAAGAACAATAATCAACGAGTGGAAAGTCTTTATATATCATTTTATATAATATAATATAATATAATATAATATATATATTACAAACAGAAAAGCAACATTAAGCAGAGGTTACCAACTCAATGTATGTTTATGCCCTAGTACCAACATCCCTTGCTTTTTGTACCATTATTGTCTTTTATATTTAATAAAGTATAAAGTTTTTTGTACATATATAAATTTTTGGAATAAATTGTAATGTAAAGAGTTTATAATGTTCAAGCTTGTAACATACTATTGATTAGTTTCCTAAAGCCCATAGATTTTCACCTTGTTTCATTGTTCCTGGAGAAGGGTACTCTGATATAAAGAACAAACTGAATGAATTTTAGCTACTATTCTCCATACCCTCATAACATAACGTATTTCTTTTAATATGTATATAATATGGAATATGTTTATCAAATGAATGAAATATATACTTATTTAATAATCTCAAAAGTGCTGATTCTGTGTGTATTCACCAATTATTGCCTCGAATAATATGTTAGAGGTTTCACCATCCTGCTTCCTTCACAGAACAAAATTGTGAAGCAGCACTACAGTTTTGGAACAGATCCCAACGTATTTATCCCCAGTATACACCTATAAAATGTAGTATGTGAGTCTGAGATTGGAATGCTCTGAAGTTTTCATATGATTATTCCTGGCAGCATTTTATTGAATCTAATCCTTTCATTTAATACACAACAGTAGGTGATGTCATTAAACTTCATAAAATAAAACAACATGAATCTGTGATCTCTCAGGGAAGTGTCTTCAAAGTTCAATGTATAAATAAATGTATAGCAGAACAAAGTGTAATTTAATGTGACAGTTATTAACAAACAAACATACCATAATAAGAAAGTGACACAGCTCTTGTATAATTATGTATTTCATTTTTCACATCAACTATAATGTTGGCACTATTAAAGTGTAGATAAAGGCAAAACCTTTTTTTTTTCTTTTTGGATAGAGTAATGAGGAGTTATAACCCCCATTAATTTTGTTTTGTTATCTGAGTCCCATAGTGGATATTTCCCTTCACTTCCTGTCTTAGAGCCAAAACGGGAAGTGAGAGGAAATCCCTCCTGCTTTTCATTAACGTGTATGTCAGAGAAAAACAAGAAAACAAATGCAGTACATTTCTGCTGTACCTGTACATTTCCCTATGTATTATCCCTTGAAACAAAAACTGCCTATCTGCCAAAAAAATATATAAAAAGAACTTTGCTCTCTACCTAAACTTCCTAAAACCTTCCTATACCCCTTTTGAAAAGTAAGATTTTAATCAATATCTCAATGAACACAAGAACAATTTCCAAAATGTTGACAAAACTGAGTTTTATAGACCATTTATTTAGCTCATTACATGAGTAAGGTTAATAATATAACTTAGATTACAAAATCTTCAGTTTTACTCAAATGAGTTGATGCAAAAATTAATACACCCCACAACAAAAACTACTACATCTAGTATTTTGTATGACCTCCATGATTTTTAAGGACAGCACAAAGTCTTCTAGGCATGGAATGAACAAGTTGGCGACATATTGCAACATCGATCTTTTTCCATTATTTAAGAATGACCTCTTTTAGAGCCTGGATGCTGGATGGAGAGTGATGCTCAACTTGTCTCTTCAGAATTTCCCATAGGTGTTCGATTGGGTTCAGATAAGGACCATTTCTTCAATGAGTGTCATATGGGAAGGAAGTGAAGGAAAGCCAAGACTCCAGTGCACGTCACTGGATCGAGAGGGGGATTAGGTGAGTATTGGTGGGGCTGGATGCTGCACAGAGAATGTTTTTTACCTTCATGCATAGAATGATTTGGGGTTGATTTACTTAACCTGTTTCCGTCCGGCGCATGTCGATAACAGCCTGACAGGAGCACTGCCGATGCGGTTGGACATTTCTAAACGTCCCCCACATCCATTGCCTGTGCACGCTCCCTGGGAGCGCATGGCTCCGCGATCGGTGCAGATCGCTGTATGAGACCTCTGTGCGAGGTACCGATTCATGTGATCACTGATTGGCCAATCAGTAATCACATGAATATTAGTAAACAAGATGTCACTTCCTGACATCATTGCTGACTACTTGTGAAATCTGTGAATGATCACAGAGGTCACATGGTACAAGGTTATTAACTACAAAAAGAAACAAAAACGAGAAGCGCACAAACCTTGCGCATTACCTCAGTAAGCAAAAATTTATTAATAAGAAAGGTACTCACAAACAGCGAATAAAATCAGGCATGTAAGTCCTCACAGGGACTTCAAAGATAAGGAGCCAGCGCGAGTCCCATCGTGGGGGTAGACACTCAGTTCATCTGACGCGCTATGATGAAGAAGGCAAACCTTCTTCACCATAGCCTTTGAAGGTTTGCCCTTCGAAACGCATCAGCTGAACTGAGTGTCTACCCCCACGATGGGACTCGCGCTGGCTCCTTATCTTTGAAGTCCCTGTGAGGACTTACATGCCTGATTTTATTCGCTGTTTGTGAATACCTTTCTTATTAATACATTTTTGTTTACTGAGGTAATGCGCAAGGTTTGTGCGCTTCTCGTTTTTGTTTCGCTTTGTAGTGTTGGTCGGGCTTCCCCAGCCTTGTTTGGAGCTGGACAACCTTTGATGCACTGGTGGTCGCTTTTTTCCAGTTCTGGTTCCATCTATTTGCCACCCGCCTGGGTCCTAGAGCGCAGAAGAAATCGTGTTTGGTCTACAAGGTTATTCACAACAGCCTTGTACCATGTGACATGCTGTGACCAATTACAGCTCGCACAGTATGTCTCAATGGCTGCAGGAATGCAGCCAGAGAGAAGGAGAAATGATTGCTTTTACAGCCTTTATGGGTGTAAAGGCAATCAATGTAAAAAAAGACAAAAAAATCTTCATCACCCCCCACAAGTAGTACAGTGTCACTATGGTGGCACTGTACTGCTAGGGTGACAGTATGTTAGAAAAAACATAAATAATAATATAAAAATATAAAATAAAAATGTAAAAACATTTTTTAAAAATTATAATTTTTGGTTATAAACTAATTTGAGTTACCGGTATTTGTTTTACAAATAAGATAGATGAATACATTTTGGCCAAGATTTATGAAGAAAGATTATTTATTTGCAAAATTGTATAAGAAAAACACTTTTTTTTTTTTTTTGACTTTTTTATTTATATAGAAAAAAATAAAAATCCCAGTGGTGAATAAATACCACCAAAATAAAGTTTTATCTGTCTCAAAACAATGCTGAAAAATTAATAAGGGTACAGTGTTGCTTGATTATGCAATTGTCATTTAAAGTGTGATAGCACTGAAAGCTGAAAATTGGCCTGGACTCAGGGGCGGACTGACCATTCGAGCACTCGGGAACTGCCCGAGGGCCCAGGGTCAGTAGGGGGCCCCATGAGATGCCCCTGGTACCTTTCATTGGCTTTTTCATAGGCTTTTTTGGGTGTGGGCGAGGACACAGGGGACCCATGATCCCTATTGCCCGGGGGCCCCAGGAGTTGTCAGTCTGCCCCTGCCTGGACTGGAAGGGGGTGAAAGTGTCCAGACTTGAAGTGGTTAAAGTATAACTAAAGGCAAAACTTTTTTTTTTTTTTAGTTTTTTATAGAGTAGGGATGGATTAGAACCCCTGTCCGTTTTATTGGTTATCATTGAAAGAGAATCCCAAATTTTGGGTTGTCCCCAGAAAAGTAATAGAGGGGAAATCTTCCACTGGGGACACTAGTTCTGGTGACCTGGGGATGCTCAAGGGATTCTTTTAATTTGCAGGGATTTCCTGTCACTACCTGTTTTGGCTATGGGACAGAAGTGAAGGGAAATCTCCCCAATGACAAGTTGTATTTTTTTTGGTGGAAGAAGGATTTTTTTTATATGTGCGTGGTTTTTTATACTACTTTCATATAATATTTGACAATTATATAGGTATTTTTCCATTTAATTAATTTAAGTTAGTTGTTTTTGATACAGCATGTGGGTCCTGTGAAAGCATCTTCAATTTGACTGGTATTCCAGTCACCTTTTTTCTTTTGTATTAATGTATATGCTTCAAGGACTTCACTGACTTAGTGAGTCAGCAAATTTCTACAGTTTAAGCATTTGCATACAGGGCACTTATACCCCCTTCCTGCCCAGGCCAATTTTCAGCTTTCAGCGCTGTCACACTTTGAATGACAATTCCGTGGTCATGCAACACTGTACCCATATGAAATTTTTAGAATTATTTCACACAAATAGAGCTTTCTTTTGGTGGTATTTACTTGCCACTGGGTGTTTTATTTTTTGTGCTATAAACAAAAAAAAGAGCAAAAAATTTGAAAAAAGTTTTTCTTTGTTTCTGTTATAAAATTTAGCAAACAGGTAATTTTTCTCCTTTACTGATGTGCGTTGATGAAGCTGCAATGATAGGCAGCACTGATGGGCATTGATAGGCGGCACTGATGAGGTGGCACAGACAGGCAGCACTGATGGGCACTGATAGGTGGCACTGATAGGCGGCACTGATGAGCTGGCACTGATGATGCTACACTGATATGCAACAATGATGTGCACTGATAGGCAGCACTGATAGGTGGAACTGATGGGCAGCACTGATGGGAACTGATGGGTGGCACTGACTGATGGCACTGACTGGCAGCACTGCTGGGCACTGACTGGGGGCACTGACTGGGGGCACTGCTGGGCAGCACTGATGGGTGGCATTGTTGGGCAATGATCATCAGGGCACTGATCACTAATACCCTGATGATCGGTGCTGATCCGTGCTGACAATTGCAGGTTATCGGCAGTACTTTCCTCACGAAAGTGCAGCCGATAGCTGGCAACTGCACTTACCCAGTGATCT